CATGCACACCTGAAGAACTACGTTACACACACACAGGTTAGTCTGTGTACCGCTGCACTGCTGCTGGTTTAAACAAAGACAGTCATGATGCTAGTGCCGTGCATGTAGGTTCTCTTTTATTTATCAGCAGCAGATCAATAAGTGTCAGTAGTATCAAAACAATATAATAACAGTGGCAATATATATATATATATATAATAACAATAGGTAGGCTCAGCAGCAGACACACCTTTGTGCAAAGTTAGGTGTCAGTATTAATAACAGTGGCATATATATATAATCACAATAATACAAAATTAACTGTCACAGGTGTAGGTAATTTGGGGTGAAGTGTCTTGCCCAGGGACACAACGACATCCTGACTGCAGTGGGGTTTGAACCTGTGCTCCCCTGATCCGAACACCAACGCACCAGACCACTGCACCACACGCCTCCCAACAAGTCATTGTACAGTTTATCAACGACAAGTTTTTCTTAATTTTTGTATTGAAGGCCTGTTGGATTTAATCAGCTCGCTTAGCACTGCCAGAAGCCCAGCCAGAAAGGTATTTTGTTGCTCCACCTCGATTCCTGGGCCTTGTGTGAATGCAGCAGCCGTTCGTCGTGCATCTCCTTGGCACGCAGGTCCTCATTCTCCTTGCTGACCATGGCACGGCGGGCCATCGCCATGATGGTGTCAAGGAAGCTGTCATCGCATGCCCACTTTCCTAAGGTGAAATATGCAAGATACAAGATCAGTTTAATCGCAACAACGACACAACATTGTCCAAATCTGTCTCTGCAGGCACACAACAGGAGGAACACAGGGAACACCTTTGATTTGACTATTAACATTTTAAATGGTGAAGGCACTAGCAATTGGGGGATGGAGGGCTCTCAGGACATGATAGGGACAAATTGATACAAATTAAACGTTTTACAATTTTAATGCAAGCATTAATGATGCTATGAAGCTTTGAATGATTCATACCGTAATAGAATAAGCCACATAGTCTTTAAATAGCCTTAGACACTTGACAGTGACTTTATTTAAAAGTTATTTCTGTCTGTAATGCATCTTTGCACCACATTGACATGATAAGCTGCAACAATCACATTTAAATTAAATAAGTGGAGGTGGAGTGTGACTGTGTGTACGTACCATTTGACGATTGACCAGACGATGTGGACCCCATCTGCAAAGCAAAACAAGTTGATCTTACAAACACTTCCTAACATGTAAACAACGCTCTGTATGAACGTGTGAAGCAGAGTGTTAGCCCACCTTGGGGGAGCGTGTCTGGGGTAAGTTGACGGAGTGTTTCAGCCTTTTGACGGCCTCAGTGATGGCCTGGGTCTCCGTCTCGTCCAGAGCACAGCACAGGTTCTTCAGAGTCTGCACCACCCGCTCCACCGTCTTATACTGGGTGCTCTGAATATAGAGATACACGTTGGTCAGAGGTAGGAAGTAGCGGAGTACAAATACCTCGTTACTGTACTTAAGTACATTCCACTACTTATTTTTCTGATCACTTTTTACTTCTACTAGTTTCTAATCCTGAGAGAAACACCTCGCCTGAAACACACGATTAGTGCCATGAGTTAGTGAAGCAAATTACAGAACATTGCACACTTATTCACAAGTCAAAACGTGTTCATAGCGGGCATGGATGAGAATAGCTAGCTAGCTAGATGTTATTAGCCAGCTTGGACCTAACGTTAGCAAGTTCTACCATGGCTAGCTCGATCTACTGAGCAAATAAAAGTACATCTAAGACCAGTATTGTGCAGATTAAAACAGTGCAGTGCATGTATTTTATTTTACCTTGGTAGTCATCCCGACATGACTTTGCCAGGTCTGCTAACTTTGCAGAGCCACAGAAACTGCATTCAGTCGAAGCTTCTGAATGTGGCGCTTCGCGTCCTCCGAGTCAATCGCCAGAAGCGCAGACACATCCTCATCCTCATCACTCCACCGCTCCAATTGATTTATTTAGTGTTGCTATAATAACTGCTTTCACAAAAGGAATCTCTTCGTGTGTGCTGCGAAGCGAGGAAATACAATGGCCGCTTACAACAAAAAATTCGGAGTCAAACGGGCGTGGTTTGCATTCCGCACAGCCAATCAGACGTACGAACTACTTTCTCCCACAACAGACCCTGCTCTGTAGCAGGGACTGAAAAGCGAGTCTCGCGAACTAAGTTGAGCTACTTTAGTTCCTGGGGCTTTTTGGTGTGAACGCAAATATATCGTAGTTCTGATGAACTATTGTGGGAAAAGTACACCAAAGTACTCCGGTGTGAACGCACCTCTTGTTACAACCAGGACAAACGAAGTGAACTTAAACTGTACAGAGCTTTAATAACCTTGGACCAACTTTAATCACAGTGTTTGAATTGCAAATGGGCTCCAGTCTCTGCATGTGGCAGTGCTTTCTGCTCGGTAAGCCTCACAGATGGCAGCTTGTTCCCTACGCAGCTGAAACAAGTCCCACAGCCCAATCTCTTGGACTGCTTCCACATCACACCCTCTACCTGTAACACAATAATTGTTAGGGCTTGGCAGGGAGAGTTTGCGCTGACAATTGATTTGTATGTTGGCGTGAACACAGCACTCAGGGCTGCAGCTGCTTCTGTTCAAATGAAAGAGATCACTTTATTCTCTGATGAGCTGACAGAGACTTTTGAATTGTCAAAAACTGAATGCAGGCATAATTTCAAACCTTGTGATGTTAAATCACTTTTCAACATTAAAAGCAGGTCTTTAGGCCCACAGGCAGAGTAGCTCTTAGAATTAATGAAAAGTGTGTTTTTAATTTCTTTTGTACGAGTAAGAAAACTGTAGTGAGATGAGGGAGTCGGGTGTTCAGGCCAATGGTCTAATTTTAGTTTATGAATTTTAAATACATCTTGTCTCAGCCTTTATTTTCCCCATGCTCATTTGAGATGATTTATGGTGACAGTTCGACAATTCAAGGAGGAAACAAAGTGCAAACAGTATCATACTTCTGACTTAAAAAAAAAGATAAACGTTTGCTTATTGGCCATGATTTTCACTGTAAAAGTATGGCTGTCAAATGTTGGCATATAGTAAGTGAGAAAAGAACTGGAACATAAAGAATATGGCAGTCATTGTCCATTAAAAGGAAAAGCAAGTTTAATATAGCACATTTCACACACAAAGGTAGCTCAATGTGCTTTGCATAATGCCGTTTAAAAAAGACAGGTAGGAGAAAAAAGTTACTTCTTTAAAAAAAGAAGAAAAAAAGACCTATGCATTAACATGTTTAAAATAAAACTTAATTTAATTTCAATTTGCATTTTATGCAATATATATATTATTTCAGATCTCAGGAATGTATTTTCTTGGGCCTAGCAGAGACATAGTGCTGACTAGAACTGATGTCAATAAGCAAACACAGACTGTCAAATGTGAATTATTTTAGGAAGATGTTGGTCTCACAAGAGGATACATTTGATTTCAATATGATTGACCTTGATTGAATGAATGCCTTATTTCTAATAATGTATTTGGTACATTCTGAAAATATAAAAATGTTCAGTGAAATATATGATCTGATATACAAATGCATTGTTTTATATTCTTCTAAGTTGCAGTGTGTGTGTGTTTTTTTGCTGGCTGCAGGTTTCATTTCTCTACTAAGAGTTTGCTTCTGCCAATCTCCTTATCGGGCCTTGAAGTTGAATTGAACCTAGGAGTAAACCTTCTGTGAATGGGTTAAAGTTAACTTAGAGAACCTCAGATTTAGATACTATAGATCAGGGGTCTCTAACACGTCGATTGCGAGCTACCGGTAGCTCGTAAGCCCTCAATAAGTAGCTCGCCAAGCAAATCCAAAATGTAAAAAATACACACAATAAAAAAGGAAATGTAATTAAAAGAATCTACCCTATGCATGAACGAAACCTCAATCATAGCAACTCTATATCTATCCAACACCCCTCCTCCCCACACAATGAATATCGACCAATCACGTTCTTGCTGGATTTGCGGGACCAGCGTTGCAGTCGGGAAGAAAAGCTGTGGAGCGGCAGCTCACGGCACACTTCTTAAGGAGTTTGACCGTGATTTTCCTTCTGGCAGAATCAGCCCCATTGAACACAGCCTAGTCGTGCCAGCCTATAAAACACATGAGGGGCAGAGTTTTACTGTGTGTGTGTTGCAACTTGCATATTTATTGCACTTGACGCACACATACGCATGGCGTAATTTCCACTGGGGACAGGGGGGACATGTCCCCCCCACTTTCCCCCAAATAAAGCAGGTTAAAATAATTTAATTGCATACATTTTCTTTTAGTAAACACTGCAAACGGGTCCCACAGACCCAAACCGCACACAAAGGTTAAAGGTCAGCATATCATAATGTTAAAATGTGCTAAATATATACACTGCAAAAAAAAAAAAAGGAGTTAAAGTAGCTAACGACTTGCTTTATTTTTTGAAAGTAGCTCTCATCCTAAAAAAGGTTGGAGACCCCTGCTATAGATACTAAACCCATTATTAATAACCGCCTAACACAAGGGTAAGGTTACATAAAGGGATGCAATGGTATGGAATAAAAAGCAGCCAGTAGTTGTGGTCGCTTCGCACACAGCTGTATGTTTTATTCTGTTATTTGTTGTCCACTCTGATCAGGGCGCTGTGGAGACTTTGGCTTTTTGAAGAAGGCTCCAGCAGGGAGTCTCTGCAGGGCCACCTTCACAAACATGTGCCTCTTTTTATTACAGTTCTTCAAATTCAGCCTTTGTTGTTCAAATCCTCATCGGGATGTATGTGTGGCCAAGCTCCCACTCTCCTATGAACACCGTCGAGCCTGATTGATTCTTCATTGTTCAGATAGAGTGTGTGGTGTCTTCACCAGCAGCACATGGTCTCCTATAGGGACGCTCTCACACTGAGTCATCCAGCACATTGATTCATTGTTAGCTTCACATAAACATGATCACACCTTTAGAAGCGCTCCTCCCTGTATTGATTGCAATAACTTTCTCTTCCAGGATCACTGCTTCTACCACGGCCATGTGAGAGGACATCCAGAGTCCTGGGTGGCTCTCAGCACATGCTCAGGAATCAGGTAGGACACAATACTGTTACAGCGCTTCCTCTATCATGTCAGTGTAAGACTGCACTGATATGACCCTGACCAATAACACTAGGTTACATACTTTATTTATTACTTCAAGTGATTTAGAATTTAAAATGATTCAGTTTAGTGTAAGACATTAAACTGAGGACACATTGCACTGTCTGTGGCACAAACCACGGCAATGTCCCTGTTTTACTGCTAAAGATCAAAATGCCTAAACTCCCAATGTCAGAGCTCTTCTTTTTTCTTCAGATTGTCATGAAAATATGTAATTTGATCCTCTTTGGGGATCCAGGCAGCAATTCTTTAAGTCTTACATTTTCACAGCCTCAGACCCATTTTTATGTGGAACGCCTTTTTAATATTGAAGGCTCAGATTGAAGCCTTCTCCTCGCAGAGACGTACGTCCTGAGGATGTGAGTCCCAAAAAATATATTCATGGATTTGATCCAATAAAAGAGACATCAAGTAACAGCTCAGTGGGGCTTTAGCAGGAATACATTTCAAAGCCAGTTTGGTAAATCAAAACAGATAAAAATTTCAGAAAGTTTTTTATTGCGTGGTAAGAACATCTTAATGTTTCTCTACCTGAGAGGCTGGTTCAGTGCTGACACTCCCAGGCCCTCTGTGTCCCTCTGTCCTGATCTGGGCAGGGAGCCAGATGCTGCTTGTTGACAGCGGCTTTGATGGGAACAGAGCAGACGTGGGGGGGGGGGGAGTAGGGATCTGTTGCTGAATTTAAATGCTTCCTAAATGTCCAGTCATTCGCTGTGATCTTACCCACAAAGTTTGTTATTGGCCTCAAAAACAAACCAAATTGAATGGAGCATTTTGACTTTGATTCAAGGGTGTAGTAGTACATTAACAGATGGATGAATGTTATCCTTAGTGGCTGAGTACAAACACATTTTTCAGCCTTTTGTTCAACTCACAACATGAATCACCATACTGGAGTTTGATGTTGAATTAAACCATACATAAAGAGATATCCCATTCACATAGAAGGCTGTGCAGCATGGGGATACATCTCATAAAGGAAATAAACTGGATACTTCAAATGACTTATTTGAATCTGTGGCCCACAGTCTTTCGTTGTTCTTTTTTTTACTTGGCCCATGCTATGCAGATCTCTACACATAAACTTTGCAGGAAAAAGCAAATCGATATTTAAAGACTAACCTATCACCATCTAAAGTCATTTAGAAGTAAACAAAGGAGTCCAATGGAGGGGTTTCAGGCAGGAGGGAAAACAGAGATTGTAGCTTTTGCAGACCATTCACATGCACTAACACCTACTGAATAGAACACTCTACAGGAAATCCCAAAAAGCAGAATAGGGCTCTTTACCTGAAAATAAAATCTTCATAATTCATAGTTATATGGTTCTATGGTGGTTAGGTCAATTCTTTAGTAACAAGATAAGCTTAACTTCGTAACCACTTGCAAATAAATTCAACCATGTCACTGTTTACATCAGTGAATGGTGATCTTAGGAAGTGAGATGTGTTTAAGGTCTCTGGAAATGTGCACGCTGAGTTAAAAGAGCACTTCACCTTAGCAGACTCTCAATAGAGAGTAGAAAATACAAATGGATACAGCAGAACCAGAGACATCAGTTTTGATTTCATGGGTTCTTCTTCATTGTCTAAGCCTGGCGCCTACTCACAGTTTAGCTTGGCTCATTCGCTGATTTGGCTGTATTATGCTAGGAGCAGCTAATGTAGCCTGGAGCCTGCATTAGCGATAATGAGCTACAGGGGTATTAGCAGGCTAACTTTCTAAAGCATCACCTCCATCATATTATTTTCAAACCTGTAGTCTGCAGGCCAAACAGAGGCTGACTCTAGGACATTTATCAGACTTCACAAAATGCTCCCTTTGAGACACAGCAGGCTTTATACAACTTGATTTACATGTGCAGTAAGAGATTCATGGAAACACAATCTGATGTGTACAATTGTTTGAATTTAAAAATAGCTTTTATGCTGAAACTCTTGGTTTCTACAAACAAAACAAAAGTTTAGTTTGAACACCAAAACAGTGCTAGTTGTGCTCCACATCAACAGTCCCTTCAAACTGCTGCAAAGCATAGAGGACGGTAAAAGGTTCCCGAACATGTGTACTGCAATAACACTTCTGTATTATTATTAGAATTGTATTATGATGTTTACATTCACATTGAATTCCCTTGAAAGAGGCCCTATTATGCTTTTTGGAGTGTTCCCTCTCCAGTAGTGTGTTCTAGGTCTTTGTGCATGTCAATGGTCTGCAAAGGCTCAAATCCCTGCATTCCCTCCAGAGGGAGTTTCTATGATAATATCAGAAGAATTTGAAAGGAAACAAATACATTCTGCACAACAATGAAAGAGGTTTGGAGTGATTTAGCAGGAAAAAAGAATGTCCTTCTGGAAGTGTATTACTTGTTATGCTCTTTGAACATGTCCTCTACAAGGCAACAGTGGTATAATAAAATATGAATCAACAACATCTTTCATAATCCTCAACCGTTTGGCCCCGTCACACTCATTGTGAGAATGTGATTTAAGATTTGACTGGGAGAAAAATGATTGAATTCCTGGTATCTGGATAGGATGTGTTCATAAGGACAAAGGATTGAAATAAGAACATTTATTGTGCTTTAGTACCGGGTATTTCCGGTGGATTTGAGGCTTTTCTTTGGAATGGCCAAACTGCACAGAAACTGATGATTATGCGAAAGAAAAATCTCATCATTTCATAAATGTCCCTTTACCATCTGCCAGGATAACACATTTTCGGATCAGGTTTCTGCATTCTTCTCTGTTCTTATCTGCAGCTCTGTGTATTTCTATTTCCCCAGCAGTTTGCTGCTCATCTTCCCTGTTGGCCACTCTCACGCCTTAATGAGGTGTTGTGTTAAGAATCAGGATGGAAACATGGTTTTAGGGGAAATTGTTAAACAGTCTTGGACACATAATGACTTATGAGAAAAGCATCAGCATGTTCTTAGAAGGCTCAGCCCATACGTCAGCAGAGAGGTGGAACACAGTGCCAGCTTTGTGTCTGCTCACAAAGAAACAAGAACTCTGACATGCTGTTCACAGACAAATGATATGCTTTTATACACATTTCCAATACGGCGTGCAGAGCACTCTATTATGTTCAGGACAGGGATTGATATTCAAGAAAGAAATACAACACTTCAATATTTCTCAGAATCTATTGGCAACAGCAGAAAGACTTCTTAGAAATCAGACTCAGTATTACTTGAATAATCCCAGGGGGAATTGGTTTTCATGACTGTTGCTCCCTTTTAGAATGAATACAATAGAATTTGTTTTATATATTATAGAAACACAAGGAGTACAAATGTGTTATGAAAGATAAAGTACTATATATAAACATGAGTAATTAAGTTCATATTTTGTATAAAGATAAAAACTAAATATAAAATACTTTATAAATATTTAAATTGATTATACACATCTCCTTTTCAGGTAGGTTTTCTGGGATCACATTTATACAGTTTCAATTAAAGCACAACTGAGTTCAACTTGAGACATTTTTCAGTTGGAAAATAAACTTATCATCAGTTGATCAATTATTCCTCCGTTGCCTAGTTTTACTATATATTTCTAACTGCCTTGTATATTTAAAATAAATAAACATGTGATTTGAAACACGTTCAAGAATGAGTATATAGAGTATTTGTATGATCCAATGTAAATTCTATGCGTGTATGAGCCGTGTGACATGTGTGTTGCGTGATGCAGCAACTTGCAGACTAAAACAAATGTCCCTGCAGGACGATAAAGTATATCTTATATATGTGATTAGATAGAAAGTAATACATAACATAACTCTCTAAGCCCATATGTAATCATGGTTGGGAGGTTTACTTTACAAATGTATTCTGTTACAATTAGAATAGTATCTAATCTGAGTAGCACAATATAAAAGTATTGTAACCTGATTACTTTTTTGTATGTTGATAATGTAATCCGTTACTCCCCAAGCCTGCATATAATATATTTTATTTTGAAAGTAAGTTCACTGGTGTCTCTGGATATCCTGCTAATAACACTTTGCTACCAGTATTACTTTTAGTGAGTCCTACAAATACTTTATTACAATGTATTTGTATTCAAATGAGACTTATTGTAGAGAAGTAAAGGTTGTCTTTTGTTAATGTGATATTGCTCGGTCAACTTTTATGTCTGCACTTGATTACAAACCTGTCACTGTGTTAATCACAGCGCATTACACTCCATCCCTACGACTCATTCCCCCTCATCATTGAGCTTGGATGGGCTTCTTTATTCATTGACAAGAAGGAACAATTGTTTCATATTCATCTTTAAAGCTCTACTGTTAAAGCTGCTAAACTTTCTCGCATTGTTCTCTAATTTAAATCTTGTCTACCTGATCGAACAGCGTTAAACAGCTTTAGGTCAAATGTGGCGTTTAAATGGAATAAACTCCAAACTGCTAGATTTCCTTTTGGAATTGTAAGTCTAGTATCTTATCACTTTAGCAACTGTTGAAACACTGAGAGTTTATTTCTGATACCTTGAACACAAATGGACCAAGGAAAGTGCATTTCAGTGCTTCGAGAAATGACTGTGGATATTGTAACATGTTAGTCCCAGAGTTGTTGGCTTTAAAGATGAAACACAGACTATTGCTCTGCTCAGAAGTCAAGAGGCTCTGCTGTAGTTTTCAAATGAGAGAAGAACTGACATTCCCATTCAAATCAACATGGTATGGTCAGAGTGGCCGCATGGGACTCCCTTAGCTAACCCTTAACCCCAACATAAACCTTCAGGTGACATCAAGCCTAATGTCCCTTTAAACATATGATTTTTATTTTCTGATCAGTGATTGATCAATGATGCACTTTTTTACTACATGTCCACTTCCCTTCAGATGTTGAATGGCCTATAGACTGCTGATACATTCTCCAATTGGCCTTCATAAAGCTATACTGGAAAAAATAATCTTAGGTAGTG